AGCAGGAACACCATGAGGTAATTGAATGGGAAGAGCCTGTGTTCACTGCAGTGAGACAGCTGGTCATGTTATAAACAAAGATGTGTCATAGGAGTAGGGCCAGGCTAGATTTTGCAACTCTTAATGCACTTTGGTAAAAGTGTGGAAGGGCTGATGGAGAAAGCCATTGTGGAAAAATGCTAGAGCTACGCTTATTTGCAGGATTTGTATTCTAGAAACAAGCTAATTACTCAGTACTATTCCCTATTAATGACAAAGTGACACTGTTTGCAACTGTCAGTTTGGTTTCTCTATTTCAAAGCACCTGGTTCTGCAGTGCAGTAGAACTGTGTCCTGAGGTGTGGTGGTTTCCACTGATGCTGCATAGTGTAGTGGCAATCTGAATTACCTTACACTGGCTGCAAGTAGTCAGCCAAGCACATGAGAAAAATCTGTCCCATCTGTAGGATGACTAGTGGATATCACGCTGCTCTAATTTCCCTTAAAGGGGAAGCCAGTCACTGACCTTAGCTAGCTGGCTGGATCTACACTGGTAGGCATTATTCTGCATTTGAGCTTTAGCTCAACCTTAGAAAGTGGCTTTGCAGCTCTATGCAAGAGCTTCTAAAAGATGTAAAGCCGGATGTGTACTTTTTCCAGTACTGCATGTCAGATGCTGGCAATCTTAAAGCAAAGTGTTCTTCTCTGCTCTTTACAGAGCCAGCACACCTTCCTTGCTGTGCCATGGAGGTTTTCCATGGCTGTTGCCAGGACAGGTTCCCCATGCAACTTGCTGGGTTTCTTCTGAGCAGAGTTGGCTAAAATAAATAATCTCTTTGTCTAACTATACTTCTGTATAGTCCAATGTTAGCAGGCTCCTCAAGTGAGACTTGGTTGTGACTATCTCATGAGCCAACATGTTACATTACCCGCATGTCCCTTTGTGAACTTTCAGCTCCTGTCAAGGGTCCAGTTTTGTCTCAGACACTAGCTAGCAAGAAAGTGTGCCAGTCGAGCAATCACCAGAGGCTGTCGCTTAGCTATGGAGCTCAGGAGCCTTGTGGGGATGGCCGGGGCTCCGAGATCCACCTGCAGGAGTTAGAAGAGAGGACACATGTCAGGGTTTGTCCCCATTTCTGGACAACACGTGTCTCGAGCCTGGAGCAGCACTGATGTCACAAATACGTTGCACACAACACTAGTTCACAGCCAGATGCTTTCAGTACTGTGTTCGTGTCTTTACCTTCCCAATACTCTGCAGACTTTCAGAGCTTTCTGTATATGATGTTACTTGCAGCAGGTGTGACCCAGACTGCTTTTGTGTTTGAGCTTAGATCTGAGACAGTTACAGTATCACGGAAAATGCATGTGCAGGTACTAAAGCCTACTTATCAGATGAGTCTGTAAGAAACCAAGGGGCAAGATTTTCTTATTCTTAAGTAAAGCTTAATATTCTAGTTTTGTATCTATTATGTGTGAAGAATTAATGACTTCAGCTACAGGAAGTTATCAATACGTATTTCCATGCATTTTGAAAATAGTATAACCTGAGGTGGATCTCCTGTGTCCACAGAAAGATGGAAGTGCAAACAAGACTCTCCATACTGGCTTACCATCAGAGAATGCAAAGTATACTAAAATTGCTAATAAACCTTTACAGAAGAGTCTTTGTACCTAAGGGAGCAGCTTTAGGAGCTGTAAAAACTTGGGATTGGGTGCTTAAGCACAACCCTAGTGAGATTGTCTCTGCATTATTGTACCTCATGCTAGAAAACTGTGGAAGTCACTTTCATGGTCACTTCATAAACTTCATGAAGCATAAGGAGTATATTTTTTATTACTCACCAGCTCTTAAGTGTTCTGATATGTAGTGGCTTTTTGCATTCACTGTTGGACATACAGCAAACACTTACCTGTGCCATGTAAATTACTCTGGTGATATCTCTTCCATTCACTACATCAGGTTCCAATATCCAAGCGCTTGGCAAAATCTCCCCTCTCACCACTTCTTCACAAGGGTGAGGCATAGATGCATCATAGACAGACTGAATAGCCAAGACAGACAAGTTCTCCTGCATGTGACAAAGTGTGAAGAAGACAAAAAAAAAAATATATATATGCATATGGTCATATTTTCTTTGTTTGCTGTGAGGCACATTTCTCCCATTATTTACTTAACAATTTTAATAAAAAATAGTATTTCTCATGTTACTTTTTTTTTTAATTATTTTTATTTTATTTATTTATTTTATTTTTTATTTATTTTTATTTTATTATTTTTTAATTTTTCCCACAATCTGACATGTTTCTGACCAGAATATACTGTGTAACACTTTGGTTACTGCTTAACAGGCTCTTGGTTGACCACTGTCATTCACAAGAGGTTTTATATATAATTTACTTGTGTCCTATCAGCCTGGTTTTTCTTCCTATTACATTGTCACTTCTAGAGAGAAAGGCATGGACTTTCCTTCTGTTTCTGCTTTGTCCTTGAACCTTAAGTTTAGAACAGTTACTCTTCTACACTTCTCCTAATGCTTCAGAAAGAATATTCACTTTACCTCTTCAGCTTCTACAGTAATGCAGCAGAAATCCCGAGGCTGCTTCAAGTAACATAGGGAGCTATCAGTCACTAAATATACTGTGAAAAAAAGCACACCCAAAAACAACAAAAAAAGGAAAATTAGACTGACAATTTTAACTTGTCATAACTTTTCCCTACCCCCCTAAATGCACATGCATATTTTAATTTGACTTCTTCTTGCTTAAGTTGATATGTGTCATTAAGATGCTTTTTCAAGCCACTTAAGATTTACTTTTACTTTCAAAACACTGTCTTTAGCCATACTTCTGCAGCAAGATGTTTAATACTATTCTTTGCAGAAGTCTTGCAAAACTTTTAAATAAAGTTTTTCCTTTATAAGTTCCTATATTAAATAAGGAAATCAATTATTCAAACCTGAAGAAATGAAATAAGATGCCTCTACCCTGAGCTAAGGAAGTACCTCATGATAATGGTGGCCAGTCATTTGTGTTGATACTCACCCAGCTGAATATGGCTGGTTACCTTCTTGTGTATTCGGGCTGTGTTGATAGTCCTGTCGTACAGGAGCCTTTTGCCAGGATCTCTCACTAGTCCCCACACAGAGGGCAGAGGTCTTTCTATCACTCCTGCTCCCAGGAACCCATGCCTTGTTGCTGAAGGGAAGACTTTATAGTAAACCAGCACTTCCTTTTCTGTACATTGATATCTGTCAAAGACAAAGGAAAGGTATTTGCACAAGAGGGCCAACTCTATCAACAGGCCTCCCATTATAAAGTCCTGCCATAAACTTACTTCCAACCAGCTGCTGCTTGGCATGTGTAGAGATTCCTCAGGTTATTAGAGCATGCTGCCATTACCTTAGAAAACAATGGAAAATGTGCAGGTAAGATAAAGTTGCATTAACTATTGTTTGTGTTCAGCTTTTGGTTTTGCCACAACTACTCACAGTGCTAGAAATCCTTAGGGATTTGTATCACAAACACACATGCGTGAGTACATACCCACACCCCCTTGTCTACCAGCCTAAACTATTGTGAGAAAATGGGAGATCGGGGAAGAATGTGTCTCCAAATGTTATTGAAATTATTCTACCTGATCTGAAATATGAAGTTTGAATACTTTTTTTCCCATCTGCACTGTCACATCTCGCCACACACAGCTACAGAAAACCTGCACAGCCACAATTCTTGGCTGCTAGAGAAGCTGAGCAGCTTCACTCAAACATGCAACAGTCTCTTCTGAACTCCACTGCAGCCTGGCTCACTTTCCCCTACCATTTAAAATTCCTCAGTGCATCCCTCTGTAATTGACAAATATAGGTTTTAACACCAAGGCTTGTCCAGTAGGAGGTATAGGAATAAGAAAAAGACCTGCTTATTTACTTACCTCAGTGGTAGCATTAGCCAAGATGTGTTTGGATAAATCTTGGTACCCTTTTGTTGAAGAGGAGCTGACTGGAATAGTTAATCCATGAGTGAACCTACAGCTGATGCTACTAGAAGGAGGGGGTGGCTGAATTCTGCTGGTTTCTGCAGGAAACAAAAAAGCCATAGGGGTACAAAAAAAAAACCAAACCCAAAAAACACCCACCATTATTCTGCAGTTGTGGGGACTTCAGCCCTTCATTAGAGCACCCAACCTGCCTGATCCTGATGAAGGACTGATAACATTCCTTGTCTAGACAATCTGTATTGGTAGTTGCTCTGCAATTATATTTTGCATTACTGAAGTTTAATGGTTATTACCACATATAAGATAATAGAATAACAAAGAACAGGCAACATGAATCTTGGGGATAAAAATAAGAAATTTCATGTCCAATCCCATACTTGTTAGAGTTTAGCACACATCCCCACCCTCCCCACTTTCTTCAGTTAATTCAAAGCATTATCCTCATATCCTCTCTGAACACTACTTTGATGTTAACCACATCAAAAGAGCAACTTCAGAGGGACAAAATCACCATTTACTTTTTCAAGAAATTCTAAGCAAGCTCTGGCTATTGCTTGACAGTATTTTTCTGAAGTCATGTAATGGTAGGGACATGTCAAAATACCTCAGATCACATTAGATATTGATTTGCATCAATGACAAATTGCATTAGGCTTTGGGATACAACTCAAACATAAGCAGATGTATGTTTTACTTACCAAATGTATCCTTCTGTAGTTGCTCTAACACATAAAGCTGACTGTTTCTAAGAGCTGAACGACCTCGTGTATCTCTTGAAAGCAAAGCATTTCCAGTGGAAGTCTAATTAAAGAAAGAGCAGAAATGGGGGCTAGTGGTACGAAGTGGAATGTTACATTATGTTACATAGCAAGAGGGATATTCATAGCAAATTTGCCTTGCAAGGTTGGAAGCTTCTCATTACCATAAAGTAACTCCTTTGCCTTTCCCCTGGATATGAAATGATACCTTGACTCAGGCAATTTAAGAACCCAACTGTCAGGAGCTAGTAAAGTGTGTACTGCAAAAAGTAACTTCAGGAAAGTTCATGTTCACACACATACTCTAAAGTCAGTATGTGCACACTGAAAATATCAGATTCTGGTTTATCACCAAAAAAGGCTTGTTTCTAGAACACTTGACAGATAGTGGCATCACTGACAATAGTAACATTGTCTGGTTTTTATCTTGAGTTTTTTAAAAATGCAGAAAAATAGAAGTGTCACTATCTTTTGCAATTACATGGTGATGCTTCCTGCACCCCATGTCACCTCTCTGTCCCAGTGATACAAACTTGATATCTGTGACAGAATATGAACCACCTCAAAAAAGGTTTCTGTTCCTACATTATCTCTCTGCTATTGTTGAAGGATCAGGAGATGTCAGTCTCCCAGGCTAGTTGTTTCTCACCTGTCCTTCCTGGCTGCTGAGGTTACTTGCAGTGTACACAGCCGTGTTACTGCTGTTGTAACCTGATGTTGGGCCAGAGGAGAGGCTGAGGCTGGAGTCTGTACATAAAGTGCTTGTACTGGCAAGAGTCTTCAGCCTTGCTTCTTCCTGTAGGAGACATCACAGTATTATAAACAAAACAAACACAAAAAGGTACCCTGTACAAGAGCCAGTCAAATCAGTAACAGCACTGAAAGATGAAAGAGGGATAACCTGAAGGCCAGTTTCTTTCAAGGAGTGTTGACAGGACAAAAGCTGTTTCCTTACAGAAAGTACTAAATAAGCAGGCTTGCTTGAAAGACTAAGATGATATAAGCCATAGAGCAAATCACCCTGGCAGTCCAGGAAAATGCAACTTCCTCTTGTTATTCTTCACATATGAGAGTCCAGACTACAAGACCAATGTTTTCAAGGAGAAAAATAAGTTTTAAATCTCTCTGCAGTCCCATTTGTTGTTCTTTGCCTGTTTCTCTGACTGAACTTTCTGGTCAAACGTAGTTCTAAAGACCAAAGATTCCACTTTAACCAATGAAACTACTTGATGCCAGCCCAAAAGATGAAGAACAAATTACAAAAATAAGAAAATACTGAGAATTTCAATATTATTTATACTTTCAAGGGCAGTTTTAAGTTTGGTTTTAAAACTTGGGTGAAATTTGTCTACATTTCACAAGAAAAACACAGTGGCAGATATGGTAAGATCCAGACATCCAGTGGAGGTGCCTGAATTTGAGGTGCCTCAAAGGGTGCAGAGCAATGAAATAAGGGTTCACCACATGTTGCACCACATATGACATGAGGAGATGTCTGCAGCTATGGCTGGAGCTGCATTGTAAAAGGTTACTACATTAAAGTGTAGTCAGAAGCTGGGCAGAGCAGACACATCCTCATTAGGTGCTCTACTGGCATCCTGCAGAAAATGTTATGCACTCAGTACAGGAAAAACCCAAAAGTACAGGACAAACATGCACACTGTCTAAAAAAGACTATTCTTTTAAAGACTTAGTCTATAAAAGAGAAACAGAAAATGAAAAAGAATAAAGAGGCCTTTGTGTTAATCTTAAAACCTCTTCCATGGACAGGGCATATGCCCCACAGGATGGCTTTATCCAGTGAGAAAACATTAGGAATTTCTTATACATAAAATGTGGCTTTTGGAAGATGTGGTTCAGAAACATGAACAGTATCAGTTCAGTATTACTGATTTTTTTAAGCACAAATTTGTATTTAATTCTTCATTTTTTTCCACATTGATGTGTATCGAACAGCAGCATTACTGACCAATGAAAAAGTTTCTTTACAAAAAAAAGAATTGAGACGAATAATGTAGAATGATTTGCTCTGTAATGCTCACCTTCTGTAGCTGAGAAAATATTTGCTCCCGTATTCGCCTCTTTTCTTGCTCTGCTCTCTCCCGAAGTTTGTCCCTCGCTCGTGCAATTTCATTTTTGGTTTCCTCTCGAGCCCTCTGGTAGTCTCGGAGCAACACCTCAATGTCTGAAGGATGCTGAAGGCTTCTTCTTTTTGATCCTTGAACTCTTAAGTATAGGTAAGTGGGGAAAAGCACACATAATTACTTGAAATCAAACCACTTGACAAAATGCCAAAAGAAGATAATATTTGAGCATGGAAGAGGAACATTTGCCAGAAAAGCAATTAAAAACCACCACATTTGCCTCCACAGTTTCTCTTTTCTCACTAAGGCCTGCATGGACATTAACCTTGGAAAATTATTCAGATTGCAAGTCCAATTTACCACTGAGATTACTCCACTGACTCTACTGGTTTCTAAATCAGCTCTCCATATGATAGAAGGTTACTGCTTGGGTTATCGGATGCAAAATAATTGTGTTGGGAAAATATCTCTCTCCTGACAGACTGGAAAGGAAGCAAAAGTCATTTAGGGTGTATGGTGGGGGATAAAAAACTCAAATTCTAAATGATGAAAGGTTGCAGAACTTTTTTTATATTTAACATGAAATCTAACTATTTCATGTGGCTTTTAAGCTAGTGAAGGAGTAAGAAGACAGATTGGTTTATAATGAGTCAAGACTGAATACTTGGATGTCCCCATACATCACACACAGTTAGAAAATTAAGTCATTTGTTATAGACTGAAATAAAGTAGACTGAAGTTTTTAATGGATGTTTAACACTTCTGCACTGGGAAGAATTTTTCTGCCACAGGAATCTCAACTGTCTCAGTATGAGCCATTAATGTGCATCTGTTGTGAACACTGGTGATGTTTATCAGGCCAAAAGAGAGGTTTCTAATGCCCTACCTGGTATTTGCCACCACATCTCTTCTCAGTTGTTGCAGATATTCTCGGCGTCTGCTGGGGAGATCTAGATCCCTCTGACTTGCATCCAGGGTCTGCAACAGACTCAAATGCTTCTGAGGACTCAGACTTCGGCTTCTTTGGTATCTTTGCAGCCTTTTTTCTCTTTCCTTCCTCAGAGTTTCAATAGTTCTCATGTGTCTGCCAGGGAAACATGATTACAGTGATAAAATGCACCCTGCAAAGTTACATTTTGTGATTTTTTTTTTAGAACACTTAAATATTGGGCAGCTTCATAATGTAAAATTTATAGGACTCTAATACCACACATTCCCCTTGCAAATACCCTTTGGCCACATGCTGACAGATCATGCAGAAATTCTAAAACTACACTGCTTTTGTAACTAGGAAATGCATATGAGTGTCTTCATGCTCAGAGGCAAATTGAGGACAGAGACTAAATGTAGCTACTTCTAAGTGTTTTTAGTTACAAAAGCTTCCTAAATGGAGTTCTAGAATACAATCACAAATATCTAGGATCTTGATTTTTACATGATTTATCTTGTATATTTACGGGGGTTTTAATTTGTTTTTGCATATTCATACAGCAACATTTATTCACAGAAGCATGAATGATACAGTCCTGTAAACAGGATGTATCAATTATTTTTCCTTTGCCATAAAATATATTCTCATGATCACCAAGTACACATGACCACTCTCAGGGCTGCTAGAAAATCTAAGAGTGGGGTGGCACTAGATTTGAATGACACCTTTTTTCTTGAAGTAATGCCAAAATTTTGTCTTAAATGCATTACTTAACTGCATATAAAATAAGCTTAATACTATATTGCTTGACATACAGTTCAATCACTGTGTCAGAGATTAAGTGCTCATGATTACACACTATTTATGCTGCATGAAGCATAGATGTAGTGTATTCAAAATACATAACAGAACACAAAATAATTTACCTTTCATAGAGTTGCTGCTTTACTGGAGTGGCCACCAGGTCCTCTGCAGTCCCGCTCTGAAGGACCCTCAGCAAGGCATCTGTCTCCCCAATGCCATAATGGAGCTTTGCTTCGGCCAGTTCCACGGTGAGGGGCTGCTGATGCAGGTCAAGGTGAAGACCAGACATGATCTGAGCACGCTCTTTCTGGAGCTGCTTGATCTCTCTGCTCCGGCTGTCACTGAGCTGGGCTTTCCCTTCCATTTCTGGTGCTCGTTTCCTGTCTGCCTGACTTGGTAAGTCAGTCACACTGCCACTCAAGTTGAGCAACAAAGGAGAAGGGCTGCCCTTAACACCACACCAGTTGCTAAATTTATTGTGTATAGGTAAGTCACGGAGACTGTAGCTCCGAGGCCTGTAAGGCTTTGCAAAAGCAGTAGTTTTGTGGAGAGGAACTTCAGTGTCACATTCACTTTCAGTGACAGAATCTGTGTTGTCCTCTTGGAAGGAGGTTTGCACATCACTCACATCAGAGAGCGAAGGAGGGCAGGTGGCCTCATTTTTCCAGAAGGAACTGTGAAATTGTAGAGAAGACGCTTCTACTAGAGATTCTGAGGACGTGCCAGCATTTGTATTACTTGAACAAGTGGCACTAACTTTTTTATTAAAAGTTATGTCAGCATTTGGAGGTGAGTAGTTACGAATCAAAGCAGTGTCCGCATTTCCAACAAACTTTTCATGTCCTATTCCCACCGAAGAACCTCTTCCTCCCCTCGTGACATAGGTACATCGAAGCGCCCGTGCCAGCGGGCTGCGGTCTCCGAGGGCACCTGGGGAAACTTCCCTGTGGTCTGACACCTCCAACATACTACTGGAGTGGTACAGTCGTTTTGCACAAATGGTGGTGTGAGTGTCAACCAAGAGACTATGCTGTTGTTCCAAGTCTTTCGAGCCATCCTGTTCTAAAAGCTCTTTGGCTGCTTTCTTATCTGACAGACTTCCGGGTTCCTTTCTTACGCCCTTGTTGTCTCTAGATGCACTTGATTCACCGTCTGCTTCTGTCTGTGAAAAATTGTCCACCTGATGTTGCATGCTGGTCCATGGACCTGCCCTCTGCTTTCTCTGGTTGTGAAAGGGACTTGAAGCACCATTGGAATTTCCAAAAGACTCCTTAGCAGGGCAGACAGACTTGCTAGAAGTAGTCTGGCTGCTGGGACTAGCACTAAGAGTAAGAATAGGGGAAGAGGCCCTGTCGACTAGCAGGGTGTTTTTGTAACAAAATTTTCTTTCTGCCGGAACCTCTAATTCATTGACACTTCTTTTATCCTGAGCACAAGATGCTGGAGATTGAAAGGTGCTGTTAGTAGGGCTGCTAACAACAGTGCAAGAGGAACCATCCTGCCCTGAACTCAGAGAATACGATGTGACAGATGAAACTCTAGTACTAGCAAAAGCAAGATTCTGCTGTGCATTTAATGATGTTTTTTGGCAATCTAAGATAGGAGTGGAGGTTCTGTGTAAGAGAGGCAGACGCAAAAAAGAGTCTTCCCAAATGCTGTCAAGACTGTCATGGAAGTCAGGACTGCCCAGATCTCTCATCCCTGTTTGTTCTTTTGTTCTTAATTCAAGAGAGAGTGTTTCCTCTTTACTTTTGGGAATACTACTTACTTCATCTGCACCTATTCCTTTCCATTCAGTGTTTGCTGTCGGAGTTGCCCTCAATTCATTTTCCATTTTTACCTCCACTTGTTTTTCTTCATGTTTATTTTGAGGTTCTTCCCAAGTCTCAGTTTGAGTGCCTATATCTGCTGTAGTCTGAGTGCAGCTATCTGCTCTAGTAGTCTTTACAGCCTCTTCAGCTCCTCTTTGGTTCATTTTGGCATTCTGCTTGCTATCTGTAACCGTCTGTTGGGAGAGGTTTCCCAACAGCTCAGAAGTGTTCTGAAGAAGTTGTGACAGATGCATGGACAGGTTCTGCATGCTTGTCCAAGAAGAAGGTTGATGAAATAATTCCCTGTTTGTTTCCTGCTTTCTTGCAGAAACATCTGTATAGCTTCTTTGATGTCTCCTCTGTCTTTTATACCTTCCTGTGGTTGCTGTTTGTGTTCCCTGCTCACATGTAATCCCCGGCAGTTTTTTGGAAGACCTTTCAGACTCTGAAGGATATAATAGCACAATTTCATCAACCTGCACTGAAGAGTTACCACGTTGTGCAGAAGGATTCTCAAATTCAGCAGTGTTATTTTCTGGATTAGTTTCTACTGTTTCGCTGGATATGTTGCTGTATTGCTTGGTACTCTCACTTGAGAATGCAGATTGAAAATCCTGTCCAGCATTGTCCCATCCTTGAAGACCTTCACTGCTGCTTAAAGTGCTTGATAAAACTTTTGCTGTAGCATATGAGCTGAGATGAGAATGGAAAGGAGAATTTTGCAAGTTCAGTCCATTGTCTACACTGGAACATCTCATTACTTTATGATTTTCCAGGTTTATAGGAATTTGATTGCAAGAGACATCACTTGCACTTCCAAAAACATACTGTTTCCAGCCAATCTTGCATGATCCCTCTTGCTGCCATGGACGAGTATATGGGTTGATATCACTTGAACTAAAACGCATTGCATCTTTGTTGTCTTGCAAAAATAAATCTGTTTCTGGCTGGTATCCAGCTTCTTCAACTTTACCTTCACTACACTGAGCTACAGAACTACTCTTGGAATGGACATTTGCTTCTGCACCCACAGGACTCTGCGCTGTGTGCTGCAAGGATGATGGAGAACGGGTAGTACAGTCTTTTAAGGACTGGCTGCTTTGGGTTCTTGCTGCAAAATTTTGTAAGTTTGTAAGCTTCTTAGCTTGTGCCATTCTTTGCTGAAACCTAGGTTTAGATTTAACCTGTAGAAAGTCCTTCGATTCCTGCTTTGAAAATCTTTCAATTCCATGAAGATCATCTTCAGTTGGTGATGGAGGCTCTACACTCATATTTAAATCTTGTAGTGATTTAGACGCAGAATATAACAAAGAATCTGCCTTAGATGAAGCTTCCAAAGTAAATTGTAGATCAGAGAACACAGCAATAGCTGGAGCTGATAGTCTGTGACTTTGTAAATAAGGTCTTTGCTCACTTTGTTTACAGCTCTTTGTATTGCGTGTAGTAGAATATGATCTTTTGCTCCTGAAATGTACCAGTTTGGATTCTTGAGGAGGTAAATCATGGTTTTCTGGTAAAAACTTTAGGGAGGTACTTTGATTATTCATTATGGAAAATTTCAGCCTCTCTGATTTCAGAGTCTTATTCCTCATTATAGCATCGCCCCTTGTTGAATGACTGTCTGCATCAGCATCATCAGTAGGCCTGTCAGCACTTGAACTTGTATTATTTTTGCAAACTAAAATCACTTTTCTATCATCTGGATTTGTTCTCTCTGGCACCTGTTCTACCTCTTCACCTGTAGGCATGTACTGACAGTCTTGCAGATCTGCAGGCTTTTCAGAACTCGTATTTTTTTTGTTTAGCTTTCTCATTTGTCCCTCTTTAACAGCAATTGCCCTTCCAGTGTCCCAGAAAGGTAGTGATGGTAATAAAATAGAATCTCTACTGGCTCGTACTTTATCTGTGTGGTCTGTGCAAGCTTCTTGTGGTGGAACTTTTCCCCAGTGGTGCTGATCAACTTTTATAGCATTGCCAATTTTTTTACCAGGACTTCCATACACAGGTTCCCCATCTACAGCCAAATGTTCATATGAAGCAGATTCTGTGTCCGATACTGGACAATGCCTGTTTTCTTTCGCAAGAGAAAGTAAAATACTTCCTGAGGCATGGACTGGCTCATCGAATACCACAGCCTTATCAGACTGAGTGTCCTGTATTTGCAAAACAGCTAATGGAGGATGTTGCAATGTATTTGTATGTGAAACATCATACGTGCCAGTTTCACCATGGCCTGTGTCTGCAGTTAAAGAAGATTCTGAAAACAGTGTCAAGGATGGGTGATTGACACTTGCAAATGCTTGGGGAAAAATTCCTTCTTTTACAGAGCACACTTCTGCAGAACTGGAGGAGACTTGCTCAGTCAGAGAAGTGTCTTGAAGTGAATTCTCGGGCTGACTAAATAGGAGAGATTTAATGTCATCAGGCAAACAACAAGTGTTGAAAGCACTGAGGTTCTTGGAGCTTTGAAATGGTGTATCAGTTGGAGTGTCTTCTGCAAAGTAGGATGGAAGAGGCTGTGATTCTTTACTGTCAGTCTGTCCTCGCCTCTGAAAAGTAAAGGAGTCTAATCCTGGTAGAGTCAGCACAGAAGTGTTACTGTTGTGTTCAAGGTATTCATTACTTTTATTTTCTTCTATATCATTGCAATTCTGGACAGAACCTTGTATTTTTTTTCCCTTTTGATCTGTTCCCACAACTTTTTCAGGTAGTCTATCATTCTGAGCATATGCGGCCTCTGCAACTGCAGAATTATTTTTCCTTTCATCTCCTTTTTGAGAAACATCAGGAAAAGTTACAGGTACATTTAAACCAGTTGATTCACTTTCAAAGTACTTTGTTTCTTCAGACGGAACAGCATCATTTTTACCTTTGTCTCCATAGCTAGTAATCAAAACATCTGCAAATGATGCTGGAGGATTCAGGAGACCAGAAGAACACCCAGAAGTGTCAGAGTTCCTATTATAATTTAGAAACTTTTTACTAGAATGTGGATTTTCCTGTTGAGACTTGTTCAGACCTTCTGAAAGGGTTGAAGTGGTCTCAGAAACAGTGCTGCATAGTTGGTCTACGCAGCACTCTGCAGAAGTCCCATGTCCCTGACTCTCTCTGGGCTCATGATGACATCCAGCTACACCAGGAAACTCTGCATTTTCATTTTTCCTGTTTGCTGTAATATAACTTGTGCTTAAAAATTTCCCCTTCTCATCATGCTGTGATAAACTCCTTGAGTGAAATACTTTCTGAGTTGTTTTGATGTTGTGAAACATCTTTTGGGGAGAAGATTCTAGCAAAGAAGGCATTTTTCCCCTCTGTATATCTTCCATCCCTTCTTTCTCTGAAGAAGAAAGCAGATTTGAATTATCCAAGAGCAGTGAAACAGGCACAATGCTATGCTTTTCCTCTTGACCTGTATCTTCTATGAAATCAAGGCAGTCTTTTTGTATTTTATTAGCCATTAAATTCCCACTGTGTTCTTCATGAATATGGTCAACATCCTGAATTATATCTTCAGAAGACTCAAATTTCTCCAAGGCAACTGAGCTTCCTTTGGCCCCTAGCTGAATTGCCACAGATTCAGGCTGGTGACCCCCTGCACTGCTGGGAGTGGAGGAGCTGCTCTTCTCACTGACAGGTTGCCCACACAGGGCATAATCAGACATATCACTAAATACGAAGCATTCGTCCTCTTGCCCGTCCTGTGTGGTCCTGGCTTGCAGAAAACCTACAGTCTTACTCTGTGTTTTATCAGAAAGATACTTGTCTTCTTCCGTTTTGTTGCCTGTAGCAGGTGTATCAACACAGACCTCGCTCTCCATTAATGTTTCATAATAAGGCAGAACAGCACGAGTTCCAGCACTGCTGTTAGATGGTTTTGTGTGTCTGTTCAATGCAGTGGGAACATCTTGAATGAGATGGGAATCATCACTTACTCCAAGATATAAAAGGTGATTTATAGAGTGGCATGGGGACTCTTTAAGTGAACCTTCACAGGTTTTTTCAGTAGAGTTCAGTGCTGCTGGTGGATTTTGTTGCTTGCCGATATCTTCAGTTTTACTAGAAAAGCTGGTAGACATCCACTGGCTTTCTCTTAAGATTTCATTTAATCTGCTGTCATCATGTGTCATTTGGCAGCTGTCTTTGTTTTCAGGGAATAGTTCATTCTGGTTTTTGTTCAGTTCTACCTCCTCTGTGTTGTCTACAAACATCTGCTTCTCTTTGTCTGTTTTGGCCATGTGTTCTAGGTTCATCGAATGCACTTTGTCCTCCTCAACTCTGTAGCCTACTGGGTTCAAGTCACAAATATCAGGTCTGTTTCTAACAATGCTTACATTCAAGCTTTCTGAAGCACCAGGCTCAGGATATTGCATAGAGCAATTAATGTACGTGTATCTGTCCTCTTTAATGTGAAGACTTTTAAATTCTTGCTCAGTTCTATATTGGTCAATGCCAATACTATCATCAACTGTACAGTCACATACATCAATATCATTCATGGCTGTATTTCTTGTATCCGTAACAGAGTCCACTGAGTCACCATCTTCAGTCATTTCAGTAGGAGTGTGGAATTCTGAATCATCTTCTAACAGTATGTTCTGTTCTAGTCTTGAAGCTGTCAGGTACTTTTCGGGGATCTTAAATGGATTCAAAATTTCCTCTTTGTTGTTGTCACTGTCACAATACACCTGATGTAGAGCTGGAGACTCTCCAGTAAATAAAACATTTTCATCTGTGTGTATGACTTCTTGCCTTGTAATAATCAGCCCCTTGGTATTTGTCATGTTAGTTTGTTCTTCACTCTCAGTCACTTCGTATTCATTAACCTTGTCTTCCTGGGGCAGACAGCTGGGTACACCATGTTCAGTTAAATTGCTAGAATTTACTTGTCCTTCATTTTCATGTTTTGCCAGAACTTTTCCCTGCCTACCTGTGATTAGTACTGTTGCAGATACTTCCTCTACATTAAATGCATTTCCTATTAAGCTGTTCATCTGCAAAAGCCCCTCACAAACATCAAGGAAGCCTGAAGTATTCTGACTAAAAACTGTTGTGGGGCAACACACAGGAGTGGTTTGGGGAGAAACAGACAACTCTGGTGAATAAATACTTATTTCTGTTTTCTCACTTTGTTCTTTTTGGCAAAAGCTGCTTGTTTCAAATTGGCTCCCAAAATGCACAAGTGCTTTTGATTCCTGAGTGTGTTCTACCCCACTGGTCGCCACCTCTGGTTCATCTTTTTCCATCTCTTTGTGTGTCAGGCAAAGATTTGTATAAATCTCACACTGAGCTTCACAAGCTACAATACCAATAGGTTTCTTTGGCTTCTGAGATATACTAATGACTTCTAAATCTTCTCCACTCCTGTCTTCAGTTACTCTTTGGACTTTGGCTGCTGGATAGTCAGATAAACTTTCAATCTGTCTGGATTTAGTTTCCAATACATTTTTTTCTATGTTGATTGCACTATCAGTCAATTTTGTTATTTCTTCATCAGTGTTTGCTTTTGTATTCTGATAAGAAACCATAGCTTCTTCTGGATTGGCTTCTGGATTTCTTAAAATATTGGAATCTTTATTTATATGCAGACTCTCCTCTTCAGAAAGAGTAGCTGATGTATTTGTGTTGTATTCAAATACTCTTCCCAACTCTGATTTTACATCATCTTCAACAAGCAAAATCTTCTCTGGGCAATCACCTTCAAAGATTTCTTTCTCTTCTCTTGATTCAAGTAAAGATTTGTTCTGTGTCACTGTTTCCAAGAGAATGGTTGCATCAAATTCACCAGAAATATCAGCCATCTTATGTATATTGTTTTTCTGCCTTGTTGATTTTGAAGAACATGTTGTGCAAAGGCTGCTTGAATGTACATCAGAACGACTTTCTGTAGCACTGACTTCCTCCACAGAGAGATTAGATGTAACATTGCAATCTCCTTTCACTACTTTCAAATGCTCCAATAGTTTATTTTCAGTCTCAGATGCACTTTGAAAAAGATTAGTTGTTGTTGAGCCTTGGTAAAATATGCTTGAATTGGATTCTGGGAAAAAATCATTTGTACTCTCACAAATAGCTGCAGGGAAGGACTCAGTGTCTTTCCCATTTACATTCACGATGAGATAACTTACTTCATTTACGACCAAGTTTTCATATTTGGATGAAAATTCTTTCTGAACTACAGCCTGGGAATTCAAGGCATTGTGGTCTTTGTTTTCACTGCTTTCTTCTCTTATGTTATCACTGCATAATGTAGAATTTTCTGAAATCTGTAGGGATAAGCAACTTCCCTGACTGTCTGCTGGAGCACATTCATGGGGACAATTTTTTGAAGCAGGTTTGCTTTTGAATTCATAATGATTAAGTGAAGACAAGTCTTCTTCCTTTGGTTCATATTCTTCATTGTCTCTGAATTGAGGCACCTCTGGCTCAACCTCTGCCAAGCTATCTGTGCTTGTTTCCATACAAATAATCTCTTTTTGAGACATTTCTATTGGTGTTGCAGACTGATTGTAATTTGCACTGTGAGCAACAACTAAAGGATTACAGTGATATGTTGTCTTCTGTGAGGAAAAATCTGTCTCTGTTGTTACTTCTTCTGCAGCTATTTGTCCAGAATCTGTTTCTTGCATTGTTTCCACATTACCTACCAGAGATCTGAGGAGACCTACTGTAACAGCTGATTCTGGTCCTTGTCCAGCCAGTGGCTGAAGCTCATAACTGCTTACTAGAGAGCAGTTCTTATTTGCTAAGTCACTGAGAAAGAAACCTTCATCACAACATGTTGGTATTTCCCTGCCTGGAAAAAGCTGCCCATGGTTTCCAAATTGGACTTGGTTTACTTCAGACATCTGAGTTGACACTATATTATGAGCAAGACCTGTAGCAGATTCAGCAGCAGGTGCAGTGACAGATGCACTTCTACTGCCTGAATCTGTTATACCTAAATTTCTCATCAAATTATTGTAGTCATCATCTAGCTCATCTTTTTCAAAACTTCTGAAGATATCATCTTCTAAATGTGCATCTACACAGTCATTTCTTTGCTCCAAGATGTGCACTGGCAAAGCAGAGATAAAAGGAATTTTTGTCAGCTCTTGATGAGCTGTGGGGTGAGTATCCTCCCCTTTCCTAGATGCCAGTGACAAGCAGTCTGGAGTGGAGGCACCTTCCAAAGAGCAGAGTGTTTGTGTGCATTCAGTGGTAGGCCTATGAGTAGATAATTCGTTCTGTTGTTCTTGTTCAGGATGAGTTGACCTTGATTGTTCATAATAATCATGCTTTGCTGAAATAGGAACAAATGAGGAGCTTGGTCCTACCAAGCTAACAAATGAGGACATTACACCTTGAGATTCCAAGGAAGAATTTTCATTAGAGTTTGTCCATCCCTTAAGAATCTTATTTAATGATCCACTCTCAGAACCTCTGCTTGCCGTTGTTGTCGTTTCAGGTAAAGGTAATTCTGATGTGTCAGAGGAGAAGACTGTGTGTATTTCATTTATGCCATGTGATAAATGAGTAATGCTGTGTATTTGCTTAGAGCCTGAAACAAAAGAAACCTCAGCTGCTGACTGCTTTAGATCATCTTTCTTCAGCCAATGCTCTGGTTTGCTTGAAGAGCACAGATGAGCTTCTTGAAACTCCAAATTTCCATGGGAAGAAGGTGCTGTTGTTCTGGGGCTGCTGACGTCAACCTTTGAGTCACAGGAAGACCAAGCATCATTAGTAAGCAAAGGAGTTCCACTTGTGTAATACAGTGTTCTATCAGGAGACCTTTCTTGTTCAACAAAAGAGACTTTTGTCTCATTCAGCAGCTGCTTGCAAGCACTACTGGAAGCAGGCTGTGGTTCAGTGTCCAAATAAAAGGAACTGCTTGGATTTAGATCATAATCTGTCCCTTCTGTATCTCTGTCACAGATCTTGGACTCATGGTCTTCCTCAGTCTGTATAGCTGGTGATCTGGAAGTTTGCAACTTCCAATAAATCTCTGCTGGCACTTCATCAGATGAATCAGATTTGGATTCTTCTATCAGATCTTCTGCTGGCATCTCTTCTCCATCAGCTAAGCTGTCCAGAGAAAAGCTTCTTTCAGGCTTTCCCAGTCTCCTTTGAGATGTATATGATGTCACCAAAGATGAGATGTGGTGATCAGTTCTGCTTTTGTAAAGCTTAGCTGGGTCATGGTGAGCCTTTGACCTGTGAAATCGGGTTTTATTTTGCTGTTTGGCTTGATTTTCCTTTTCTATCAGAGAGTCCTGTGACATTTGACTGTCATCACTCTCAGAATCTTCTGGGTTGGCAAGACATTTATTTCTGTCAAACTCTTCTTGTTTCAGTTTCTCTGTGAAAGCTTTTGCATAAGCACAGGAGAGAGAATCTACAGAATAGGAACTGTCAGTATCAGAAATCTCATTTTCGTCATCCTCTTGCCAGTTCCCCAGCGTATCTGCGGCTGCTTTCGACACTCCAGCACTTAGCATCTCAACACTGTGCCACCTCTTTTCAACATAAGAAAGTGGTGTCTGTGTGCTTATCTTAGTGAGATTTCCAACTGATGTTGCCACCATGAGAAATTCCTGATGTCCCATTGATGATTTCTCATGACTTGGCACAGCTGAGTTTGTCTCCGTCTTCCAATTCTTGGCTGTTTGGTTTAGATGGACTGATGGTGGGTTTCCATACACTGTTTTCTTCATTTGTTTAGGAAAGGTTTCTGGAGAAGACCTGTGGCCTTTTCCATTCATATCCATTCTAGTCTTTTTACTGGATACCTGAGTTCTGTTTTGTTCTAGATTGCTATTTGCGGGCTGACTTAAATCTCCTAGCACCTTTGCTTTTGTCATTCTTGTCCCTGTGATAAAAGTTTCAGGCTCATTTGTCCTCCTAAAAATATCAGGAGAGGAGCCTTTAGAGGTCTGTTTTGGAGATCCAGCTCCCCCTGAGCCGTCATCCAACTTTTCAATTTTTTTATCATTTTTACTGATATAAGCCATGGTAGCTGAATCATGAGAATCTTTTCCTGCTCTTTTTTTATTTACAAATGAAGAAGGTTTTTGTTTTCCAGTTAGCTGCCTCTGGACTGAAAAGGAGATCCCCTTTTCATCATTAAGCTCATCACTCCCAGAAGTGTCTTTATCTTCTTTGTAAAGATATTCTTCAGATGACAACCTCCTTGGTGTGTTGCCTTCACAGCACTGATCTGTATTTAGTGAGGTAGATAACTTTGAGAAAGTCTCCCTTTTCAACAAACAGCTGTGGAAATAAAGAAGAAACAAAGCCCAAACCTAGCTGGAATAATGTACTTAACAACACTTCCACATCAGTAATGTCTTTAGTTAAGAGCAACGACACATGAAGAGAGAATCTTAATGCTTTTCAAAAGGAGGGAATAAAAAAACAAAACACATTTGTCAGGAAGCATACAGTTTCATAGATACCCTGAAATATGTTCTGCAATGCAAAGAAATAGCTAGATGCTTTGTAGCATAGCTCGGTATTTAGTCTCTGGAGGCTTAAGTAGCTGCAAACATTAGTCAAGAACAAAGGATGGTTCTAAGTCATAGAAATCCACTTAGCAGAGCTGAGCTAGTTCCTGCCTATGGGACCATGCATTGACAGACACCCCCACAACCAGACTTTTTAGTATTGCATAGAGATGTTTATTAACCTTGACAAAGGCTGGACAACTTAGAAGTCCAATCCAGGATCACCCCAATGATAGAAATATTCTGAAGGAAGAGTTTGACCCTAATCCAGATAAGAAATTAGTGTTTACCAACAATTTGAAAAAGTTAAGAATGAGAGCTAAGCCAGTTCTGGAAAGCATTCACAAAGAGGTAAAAAAGTGCAGAAAGGCTTGAGAGAGGAATGTAAAAAACAAGTGAGAAAGACAATGTCGAAGAGCTAAGCAGGGGATGCACTGTACAGATCCAAGGAAAAAGGACAAACAGCTCCAGTGTGACACTCAATGTAGCAAGTTCACTGATATTGCAAGGTTTGGGATTGTTTCAGTGCACTGAAAGGCATTCTGGATTACAGGTGGCCACTGAACATACCTTGAATTTAAATTATTGAAAGTGCAGAAGAATTGGCAGATGTTACCTTACCTGGGTACCTGGGGCAGATGCAGGTTGCAGAATGAATGTTGCCTTTGGTGCAAGGAACTCGAACCCAGTGAACTCCTTCTCTTTTGCAACTGGTGATCCGAAGAGGAATGTACAGCAGTATTTTCATTTAGGACTTGGGATTGTTTCACACACTCTTCACCGAGGCAACAGGTGGCTTCCAGCTGCTCTAGGTTTTGCTTGGCTTCCAATAACTTCTGCTTCTTGACTATCCTTTCCAGCTGGAATTTGACTTTTTTCCGTCTTATGTTCCTTTCTGCCTTTTTTAAGGAGTATCTTCGCAAGAGCTCCAGCTGCACCAGTTTCTTCTTGTTCTGCTGTAGGAGGGAAGGGCAGATTTCCAGCCCAATGCTACTCTGCACCTCAGCCTCTGCATACAGTGCAGGCTCTGTTTGCACTGCGAACTCCCTCTGCTGTTGCTGAAGGGCAGCCAGTCGTTTATTCTCATTTATAAGCCACTGTTGGTCTGCAAATAGAGCAAGGATTGAACAAGAGTAAAAATAACGGGAAATATATTGTTTGTTACTATCTTGTTTCTTAATTTAATCAGCCTGGAGAGCTAATATGAGAATAGAATTTCTATGCATGTAGAGCAGAGTCTTTGACAAATCATTTATAGAAAAATCTATCATTGCTGCACTTCATTCAGAACCAAAAGCCATTCCACTGGGATAAGGACTTGAGTAACAACTACTAGATATAAGTAGGGGCCTGGCTGCTACAGCTAAGGAGACTGGTGCATTAGACCTTGTTTGTAAGCAAGAAGTAGAAGACGTTTCAATTTTTCAAAGATTACACTTAAATGTCACCTCAGTTTTGTTATTAAATACAGTGGAAGTATTAAAAGACATGAGTTCATTTCTATGTGCTTTTCAGACCTTGAGTATGTATTCACAGCAGTGAGGTATGACTTCATTAGCTTCTGACTGTGAAATACTCTGCTTTAATTATTCTGAAGTTATATGTTAAACTGTGTAACTTAGGGAATTCATGTACACTCACTGAGAGCAGAATTAATAAGGGAACTAGAAGATGAAGTTGTTCAGAGCTAAACAGAGCCTCTGTGTTAATGCAGCAAAGGAAATGTGCACACACTAATGAGCCTTTGGATAACAAATTTGTACATTTCTCTTGAAAAAATAAGCACTTGTGCAATCTTAGAATGTTCCTGACTTTCCATCACAGCATTTGAGTGTTCTACAACTATTCTAAAAGAAACATTTCTCTTTGTGTCTTTTGCTCCCATCCTTTCCTCCTTAACTTGACTGAACCAACAAAAAAACGCCTGCAAACTATTCTCTCTCCCTGAGAGAAAATGAGCTCCCTGCTGAAAATGAGGGAGCCCAGAGTCACGCTCAGGAACTTTGCTTAGGACAGAAAATGGCAAATGTTGTGCTTACTCTTATCAGAGACAAGGTTGGGAAGCCTGAAGCCTAGACCTCTCTTTGCCCTAGCTGGGATGTGCCTCACCTGCAGGGACAGCTACCAGCTACCAGTCCTGTGGATGGACATACCATCTCCCAAGTGGGTTGAAGACAAGGCTACAAGGAAGCCACCAGACAGTTCTGCCAGCTTCTCTAAACCTGTGAGATGGAAACTTCCCAAACAGCACAAGCTCTGGGTGGCACCTGGCTGAGGTAGAGCAACAACCACAAATTTACTACTTGTTGCAGCTATGGCTGCTCCAACAAGCACCTGCCAAAGCAGCCTGATGGGAGCCCACGTATCTTGTACATAAGCACTTTAGCATGTAATCTACTTGAAATAAATCAAATGCTCTCCTACAAACATAATTCAAACAAGGCAAGGTCATGCCACCAGTCAATGCATATTTTTCATAAAATCACCACTCTTCTCCACAAAGAGAGTTAGCTTATCTGCTTTTGTTAACATCCCCCATATTTCATAAAAGCTAATTATGCTTACAAACCAACTGATTAACCTAATTTGATAAGAAAATGTGTTACCTCAGCTTACATACTTGGTCTTCTCTACATATTCAGAACCTGACCTTTGCAGTCAGTGGGGAAGCAGAAGAGAACACAGAACACAAGGTTGATTGGTTTTTAACCCTGGAGGCAAGACTATTGCATGCAGGGAATGTGCTTAGAGGTTTTTCAGAGTGCTTCTGAATTATGATGAACTGTAACAATCAAAATAAGGGGTTACTGAGATCACCACTACCAGATTGTGTCTGGTTGCTTGGACATATGTTCTTAACGAGGCAGTTTGTTAATTTTTATGCTGCTGTAAGAAAATACATATTCAGCTGCACAAAACAAACAAAAAATATCCTTAGCTGAAAAGCAATGTGAAAATCACACGCAAGGCTCCTTGACAAGTGGAGCATTTCTCAAAGGAGCAAAGCTTTTCCAAGCACTTGTGTTTCAGCAGCAGCAACATTTTTTTTTGGCTGGGTTTACCTTCAGTCTGCAGTCCTTTACTGAATAAGCATCCTTTCGTTGCTTTTTCAGGGGGTTAGAAATGAAGAGTTATTGAAGTCTGATGTTGTGAATGAGGGCTACACACAGCTCTGCACAGCTGAGCTGCAAGAGAGCAATTTTGGGCTGTGGAAACTTCCCTAATGTAAGAAATCGTTAGTGTACAGGCATTGTCAGCATCACTTGCTTGGTAACTACTAATCTTTTTAAACACACTTCATTAGTGATCCCTATAACAATGAGCCTCCTGTCCTGTTTATGTTGGCAGCTAGCACACAGCACATGCACCAAGGTAGGAATTCCAACTCTACAGTTACTCTACGAATAAAAGAGAAGCATTTTAGCGATTATTTTAGCTATATTTTCCCAATAACATTTTTACCTTTCACATAAAAAGCTTTTCTTCAACTCTTTATTTCCAGATCTGTCCTCTTTGGCATGTTTCTAGCAAGCAAAATATTTGGCAGATGGGTTTCCCTGCAGCAGAGCTCTAAGATGCTAATTAATCTCTGCTCATAAACTTGTCTCTGTCAGGAGCTGAGACACAGAGGGCACAGAAAGGTGAAGAGCTTTGGTGAGTTGCCAAGTGAAGAACTCTATTTGGATGGCAAAAACTACCTGTCTGGCTAAGTTTCACACAAACTCAGCAAAAATGGCAGAACTAGAGGGAAGCAGAGAACAAGTCTACAGAGCCACAAAATAAAGGTATTCTGGGTAATTCTGGTTCTCAGTACTATCTACACAACCCAAGTCCATTTCTGCTACATCCCATCACCACAATTTCCCTTTGATGTCTTAATTGTAGCTGGCATAATTAAAAGGTGGCAGATTGCATGAGTTTGATTCTGAGAAGCTTCCAAAAATTCACAGACATTTTCTTCCTCCAGGAACCAATAGCAGGTTTTGCCAAGTGGGAATGGTGCCTTTGTGACAGGTGAACTTTGCATATCAAGAAACCTGGATCAAATCACTCATTAGAAAACAAACTGTGGGACACCATAACTACCCATTTTCAGTGGTCAAAAACATCTCAAGGTTTAAATTGTTCCCAAATCCGTCTGTAAACTTGTTAAGGGGCAGCCTAACCCCACCAAACATTTTGCTGACTATGTCTGCCTACAGCAGCACTGCTGGGGACCAGGAGCCACTGCCACTAAAATATACCTCTCCAAATACACCTTGGCTCTGCCTTCTGACACAGCTACTTGCCATTCAAAATCTGATCACCGCTCTGGCCTTCAGTACTCTTGCATAACACTGTAGAACTTCCTAGAAATAACTCCTATTTGAACCAGTTTTGGTTTAAAACAAACTCAGCAGTGGAGAATGCAATACCACTAATTAAGCATCTTTAGGATAAATAAAACCTGCATCTTATTATTAGTTTGATTTTTTCCATATACCAGTTTTTGCCACAGTGCCTTCATACATTTTTCTTCATACTATAAAACGGCAGGGGGCATGGGGAGGTGTGTGAGGAAACACTGACTACATAAACACCAGTGAAATTCTCCTTCCCTTAGCTAGAGCTGGGATTTTAGCTCAGAACTTCAATTTCCCACCTACTTCTTTCTTTTAACTGTTTAAAATTCACAGAGACACCACAGAAAATTCAGTTTGAGACATGGTCTTATGCCATGGCACTGTTTTTCCTAATTAATGGAATACATTAAAAGCACATGAAAATGGTCTATATTGTTACAGGGGACATCTTCAATGACCTATGTAAAGAGAGCATCTCAACCGACATGCAATTTATGGTAGGAACTGCCACAGTCATCTCAATTTCAATCTCCCAGAACAGCTCATGGGATGAAGCGCAGGTGTATCTCCAGAACAACTGAACACCCAATTGCAGACTCGTTCTACATTGCAGTGTGGCAGAGCTGCACTACAGATTCTAGCAGAGCAGAGCTGCAAGGAGGCAGGACCGGGAGCAGCTTGGGAGGCAAGAGGCTCAGTGCCACAGAGGAGCACCATGCTGGTGCTTGCCCTCCCAGAAGTGACCAGCAGAGCTAATTAAAAAGGCCCTTTAGTCCTGTTAATCAAAGCTTAATAACTGTTCCTATGGGAAAGGCCATTATAAGAGAAAACTAGTAATAAGCCACCCATATATCAAGCATAACTAGGACCAAAAAAATCAAGAGGATGAAAGAATGCAGTAAGGGAAAGGAAGAGGTAGGTACCCACTTTCTTGGATCTGCTGGTTGATTAGTGCTTGGTCATTTTCTAGCTCCCGCTCTGCTTTGATCTGTCCTCTCAGGATCTGCTGCTTTAAATCCTCAACATAGAGCTGCTGCCGTTGAATCTGTTTTCTGTGGAAAGCTTCCTGATCTCTCAGTTTCTGCTTGTACTCTTCATGCACAGCATCTACTTCTCTGCTGTTAGAAATGTTGACAGTTAATTTAAACCAGAAACAAATGCCAAACATTTGTAATAAAACAAGTCATCCTTCTCAAGAAGACAACATTTAAGATACCATTTTGCTCAATATGACTTTATGACAAAAGCTCCTGCTGGTCAATAGCTGTATGTATGCATGTCACAGCAGGGTACAATCCTGCTTCATAAATACCAGCAAACATGAAAGCTTTTGTGGCAAAGCAGGAAATTCCATCATTGGAAAGATAATAGCAAGAAGAATTTTTAAAATATTGTCACTTTTCATTTTGCTGTAGATCTTCTAAAAATGAAATTGGAGAGATGGGTTGTTGATGTGTCTAGAAGTTTTATAACCACTACATAGGCTACTTGTTATCTAGGGTCTTCAAAGTGCTTTACAGAAATTACTTTATTCTCTGTTTTGTAGATAAAAAAAATTCTCCAACCTAGAAAGGGTTACAGGCATTGTTGAGATTACATTGATTGTCTCTGGCAGTACCAAGGAAAGAACTTGAGCTCCCAATTATCTGTTGGCTGCAGCAACTATATTAGGTTACTGCTTCTGTATATGGAGCAGAATTGTGATCAGAAATTGACTAAACTGTGAAAAACTGTCTTACAGGCCCCTCCAAGATGTTTGGTTCCTGACTGTGAGGTCAAAATTTTACATGCACACACACATAGAGTAAGGATCAAAATAATATCTATTCTTAGTACAATTCATTATAATATTAAAAATACATTAACACTCTGAAAGGAATATATATTCTACCTGTCCCCACAATATAATCAGAAATTCTTTAATATTAAAGTTCTATTATATATAAAGGTGTTATATGATCTTTGCGTGTTGTTTGGTTTCTAAACAACATGTTATATGTAACTTCAGAAAACTAAATATTTAAGTCTTGAAAAAAAAGTAAATATATTTTACTAACAAAGTAAATTATGTATTTATTATGCTGATCCATTTATTACACTTCTAAAGAGAGCAAAGGTATCAAAACTATAGAGTCCCTTAATGTCAAAAGAAAACAAAAATATAATTTCAAAAGGAATACTTTGGAAACATGTTGCTTTTAAAATCATTACCAATAACAGATCACCTGTGTCAAAAGAGCATTTAGCCTTTGCTATATAGGAACTAAATTAACATCTCTACTTAGAACTGCAAGCATGTGTTCAAAGTAACCATTTCTACAGCAATACCTTTGATTCTATGAGCTAGATTAGCAGACAAAACAGAGAACACAATCAAGCAACCAAAGTCTGCAAATCTTCTAGAAATCTTTACATGGAACATACATTTCACTTTCTTATGAAGCAGTGGGAAGGCCTCATTACATAAAAGCTTGAAGTTTCTAAACAATTTACAATATTACCATGACTCTCTTTTGCTCACCTAAGGAAAACAGAAGTAGTTTTGTTTTTAATGTTAATGTAAATGTAATGCTGGTGAGAATAACTGAAAAGGAACACCTTCCATTTGACTGTCTGGCATGGTGCAAGCAGTCAGAGTACAAGCTTTGCTACTGTCATCTCCTAAGTGGTTTATGTCTGTTTGGGACCCATGGGAGGAAATTATGAGAATAGGCAGCTCCAAGATCTATTTGTCCTTGGCTTGACTACAAAGATGCCAAAAATCTGTGATTTGCAATTTTTTCCTCTCAGATAAACTTTAATTGATCCCCAGGAGATAGGAGTGGGATGCTTTGTTTCTCGTTCAGCTGAAGTAGGTTGGAATTGACACTTCACTGCAGCACTGAAACACTCATATGGCCATTGCAAATCTCCAGGTATTTGTAATGCCACCAGCTACTGGGGGACAATCTCAGAGCTTAAAGCTAGACTCGTTAACTAAAGGAGAATTACTTCTTGAACCTAGTATTAAATCTGAAGGACCTCGTTTAGGAAAAGCTCCCATAGTTTTGATTATATCTCCGAGAGAGGCTTTCCCTGAATGCAGCCTCCAGATTATCTCCCGTATTTTCCAAGAGAAATGTAATGGAGCAGCCACTGAGTGCTGAGCTGAGACAAAACCTCTCTGATTTTGGAGCAGTTATATCACCTCTGTGCTTTCACATACTTAGGCTGCAAGGTCTTCAGGGTAAGAATTGTCTCTGGATGCCTTTGCACTAAACATAACAGAGCCCTAATATCACCTGCTGGTATGTTAAAACTAATAAACCTTAATAGCAATCGTAAATGTTAAGTCTCTGTGCATTCTCTGATGATGGGGTAGTTCTAAACTGTTTTGCTACCATACATATAAAAGCTCTGATTCCTGGTATGAAAGGTAAAAAATGTCAGTCTAGATTTGTTACTGAGCAACTGCATGACCTGGGGCAAGTCACTTGGAGACACATGTGAAAGAAGCAAAGTGCATTCATCCAAGAGGAGTGATGAAGATCCATGAATACTATCAAATATCAGAAAGTCAAGTAATAGAAGAGCTGAATTTTAGTAATTTATTATTAGTAGCCCCATTCTGTATGAGATTGAGCAAACTGAGTAAATCATTGCCAATAAGGATGAAAAGCAGATCATGATAGTAAAAAGGCAAAGATTTCTTGTTCTGCAACTGTTTACTAAAACTATATAAAATAAATTTCCACTTACAAAGCACTTCATATTCTTCCTAACCAAGACTTTTAGCTCTCAGCCACCCTTTCCATAGAATCTACCTATCAGGGTTCAAAATATTTACAAACTGAAACCCAGAACAGAAATGAAACAACTGTGTTGCGTTTCAATCCAAACACCTGGTGCTTGCAGAGGTGCTTGCAGAGGTGTTTAGGGAACAACTGCTTGCAGCTGGGAGAGGCTCACAAGCTCTTCCCATACTTTCCAACAATGAAAGCAACCACCCCATCCATAAAGTATAATAAGCAATGCAAAGCATCGCAATAAGCAATGCAAAGCAATGTAAAGCAGAGAATAAGCAATGCAAACAATGCACATGGAAGTGTGTTGTTTGCTGTTCTCAGCAGAATTAGTGTATTCCCACATACGTGCAGTGATGGCTTTTTGCTGAACTAACACGAAACTCTAAGATCCGTTCCAACAGGCACATATGTTTGCACACAGAGCAGAGCACAACGCAGGCCAAACCGATGTGATTAATCACAGCTCTAGGCTACAACTACACCCCAAAAAGGCAGAGTGCAGAGCCATACCCATACTTCACTTTAAACCTTTGAAAACCAAACACAGCACAGCAACCATTACAGTATTATTACTGCTTTTGTTCTGATGATGCAACTACTTGCTACAATCCTCTCTCCCTGAGGTTTAAGTTTTTGTAATAAAATACTGTTGCTGAAGGTATATGTATGATTTCTAGTACAGCCTTTCTCCTAATTTTTAATAGTACAAAACAAAAACCAGGGAGGGCAGTAAAGACAATTCTGAATACAGAGATTGAACACTAAACAGCTTTTTATGAAGTTGCTTCTTAGAAATGGTTTTCTCAAGTGGAACAAAAAGATAATGAAAGTCCATGGAGAGCCACTTACATAACACAGGTATGCCAGGAGGTGTTTTTCCTGTGGCCATGAGAGTGTGAGAGCAAAATGACTGGCTGGTTTGGGATACAAATCTGTCTCTCACAGAAAATGCTGAAACCTGGCACATGAAGTAAGAATGCTGCCTTTCTACCTTAAACATGCTATGTCACAGCAACAGAACCCTGCTGATTTGTGGAAATAACAGACAAACTAAATGGAAAAATGAGGTGACAAGGTGACAAGATAAACACCAACAGACTGACAAAAACTTCATAACTAAATCACCTAATAGACAATGTAAAGAACAATCAGTTTGTATAATAGATATTTGAATGGTTAAACTAGAAACAAATAATATAACCTCAGTACAGAGGACAAACAGCTTCATTTCTGCAGGTATCAAGATATACAGAAAATCTTGGTTTCACAGGACAGGCATACAGCACATTAAAAAAAAGCTGCATAGAATTTCATAAAAGCATGCAGATTTTTAAGTGTACCAAATGCAGCAAGAAGTCTCAGCAGTTCACCCTCCTCCAAGTAAAGCCTTTTAAAACAGCGAGTAAAATTACAACAGCAGAAGGACACCAACCTTAAAATAAAGATAATCACAGATTACTAAGAAAATGTTCATATTCTACCAATGCTGCCGGATTGGTTTTCCATCTCATTTTTCTCTCCACAAAGTTTGCATGACGCCTGCTAAATCCACATTACCATCTGTAAATCCACATTTTTTTCCAGCCTGTTTTGTCATCAGCTCTCTGGGATCCTATTGTGCAATTCTCCTCCCCTCTTCCCCAAACACTTCTGCTGCTGATGCAGAGGCTGGCGGCTGCTACAGCATAATGCAGCTTTCAGTAACTATGGCAGCAATAGCTCTGTCGTGAGGCTGGATGCCTTCTGGAACAAAACCTTAAGGCTCAAATGGATAAACTCAAGTGAAAATAACCACTGTTGCTAAAAGCTGAAATTTTCCAATTTTCCAAAAGGAAACATCAGCCAAGTTAGCATTCCCATTCTCCTGTCTGTTCAAGTCCTATTTTTCTTTTACAAATTATGTTTTCCAGGGGAAGAAGAGTTAATAATAAAACAGCGAAAAAAAAAGATGTTGGAAAGGCATTTTACACCCTTGTAAATCTCAGCACTGAGAGCAATCACAGGTCAGGGTTACAAGCCTATCCACTGATACACATCCACCCCTGTGCTCCATCCTCCCCCCCCTCCACCCGTGTCCAACCCAGGCCCCTTCCCACAGGGCCTCAGAGCATCACGCAGCAGCAGGCACCAGGCAGCTGCACAGAGCAGAGAGCACAGAGGCTCACACCTCTCCCTTCTCTTCCTCAGAAGGAAAAATGGGGAAGGAGATACAAAGACCTTGTATTATCACCTCCCCCAGCCTCCCGAAGAGATGCCACTTGCTCAGTTCAAAGCCAAAGCTGGGGGGCGGGGGGCAAGGGAGGAACCAGAAACCAGTCCGAATGGCCAGCAGGGTAAGAAGCCTTTAGATATAAGGGACCTTTAGAAATGTATACACAGGGTAATCTCTTTCATGGAAGATACCAGCAGATGAATATCATCTGGATTTCTGATTAGCTGATTTGCTTACAGAAAATCCACATCTGTGCTTTTTTGGGTCAGGTTTGTTTGTTTGTTTTTTAGCCTCTCCATGCAAAAAAAACATCTTTTGGTTTGTTGTTTTGTTTCGTTTTTTTCCTTTGCCTAAGCCCCCAAAACAAGAGTAAGGCAAAGACTTATTTCAGGATGCCCTTTTAATACACTTCTAAACCAGACCTCTTCTGAGTAGGGTGTACAAGCAAGCAGCCAAGTAAGAGTACAATGAATTACATCCCTTTTCAGGGAAAGTCTCAGGCTTAAAGTTTTATTATTTGGGTGGAATGGCAGAAATTTTTCTCTTTCATTTCTCAAAATATTTTGAGAATTAGAGGTTGAACTAGTAATTCAACCCATGAAAAGCAAATGAGAAAAATGTCATCATACTGACAGCATGGGAGATAAGATTGTAAGTAATCACTACCATAAATATATATGTTCATATGTTCAAAATAAAACATTCAAAAGAAATCAAAGGATCATCAGATCCTGATTGAAGAACACACAAGCCTATGGAAGCTCAACAATTTCTGAATTATTTTTGTGTGCAGTTAATCTGCTGCTTTGCATGTTCTATGTTAGGACTTATTTATCCATAAAGCCATTTTTTTTCTCACTAGAAGAGAACTCTGTTTGTCCAAGGAATTTTCAATATATTAATCAGTATTCTCAGCACCTACCGCTGACATAAAATTTAATGTATTTTGAAGTTCTTATATATTGTAAAGTAGTAGCAGTCTCAGCATAAACCCCACTCTTAAAATACAGGTTATACATGCAACAAAGGTGCAAACAATTTACACCAGATTGAGTATGAAGAAGACACACAGTTGCCCATAACTCAGTTGCATGTACAGATTCCTGTTTCAATATGATAAAATCAAATTAAAGCTCGAAGAATAGTTTGCACTTCTGGATAAAATCAGTGTAGACAGGAGAGAGACAAAGCTAGAGGGGCCAAAAGCTTCAGCACCATTTAAGTATATTAATAGTCTTACCTTAGTTCAGTAGAATTTCTTTTCTCTTTACAGTTGCTACATTTTTGACTGTGAAAATAAAAACAGAAAATCATAAAATGTTAAAAAATAAGGCAAGAAAACGTCACTGAACCTATTACACATGAGATGTTATTGTAATTTTCAGTAGAGGAAGACTCTAAGATGCAGATTGCTAGCAGCTGGGAAAGCATTGAGAACTATCAAGGGAGAGGGGGGAGAGAGAGACACACACACACACACAGCTTGCCCTGTTCTTTTCCTCTAAGCATCTCTTTTTCATAGAGACAAAACCCTGCACTAGGTGGACTTCTTATTGATGAGCAAATAAGCACTCCCTGTGGTCCACTTAGGCCTGTATTACTCTTTGCAAAGTATCTCAGACACACCTTTTAGTACATGACACTGACTTTTCATCAGGAAATGGGACATTTGAAGGGCCACGTGTATCTTGTTTTGTTCTCATATGACAGATCTTAGGCTAGATGTCTTAATCATAAGCCCCTCCATGTGCAAAACTACTTGTCTGAACAGAAACACAGACTTCCTGGTTGCTGTAAAGGAAGACTAAGTGGATAAATCGAGTTTACTTTGCCAAAAAACTATTGAAGATGAAAAAAAGACCACTGGACTATGTAAGGTGAAAGACAACTAATATTAGAAGTAGTTCATAGCTTATTCCTGTGGGAGATGGACATTCATAGAAATCGAGTGAAGGCAGTACCATAATGCTTTTCATTTTCACTGAAGTAAGCATTTGAAGCACACTAGGTAAGCACAAGGGTAATGTTAAGCAATATAATATGCGTAGTCCTGTCAAAGTGATAAAAAAAAA